GAGCCCTTCAAAGCACGGCCTCAAGCTCTCCGGAGTTCAAAAGACTTGGTGCAAGAGAAAACAACCAAAGCGTGCTACAGTGTGATGAGACCACCAGGCGTGCGGGGTGTCAGGAAGCCCCTTGCTCCCGGTCTCCCCGCCCTGAACGTGACCCCGTTAACAGGATCTGCTGGCTCCTTAAACTCTGCCTCCTGCTTTTGTTACCGTGGGCACCTGAATGTGACCCTCTTCTCGCTGACCCTGACTCTGTACAAAGTTTGCCTTGACTTGTCCAAGCTGCTAATATGCACCTAGGACGAGAAGGAGCAGAGCTGGCCTCTTAACTATTATTTCTATCTTTTCCAAAAGATTGGTGATCTCACATTAGGGGAACCTGAGTGCAGGATCTACTTTGCACTATCTTTGCAATTCTATGCATCGAAGATGATCTCACGATAAAAAGTTAAATATTTTGGAGGATGGCTATAATGAAAAAGATAATAGCAAGTTTAGGGGAGAATGGAAGCCTCATAGGCTGCTAGTGGGAATGTGAAATGGGACAGCCATTTTGGAAGATAGACTGGTAGTTCCTCAAAAGGAGGAACTATAGGGGCGCCTGGGTGGCGCAGTCGGTTAAGCGTCCGACTTCAGCCAGGTCACGATCTCGCGGTCTGTGAGTTCGAGCCCCGCGTCAGGCTCTGGGCTGATGGCTCAGAGCCTGGAGCCTGTTTCCGATTCTGTGTCTCCCTCTCTCTCTGCCCCTCCCCCGTTCATGCTATGTCTCTCTCTGTCCCAAAAATAAATAAACGTTGGGAAAAAAAAAAAAGGAGGAAGTATAGAATTATTACATTAACCATACTCACCAGCAGGTCCACACCTGGGTATATATCCAAGAGAATTGAAAACATATGTCCACACAAAAACTTGTACACGAATGCTCGTGACAGCATTATTCATAAAAACCAAAAAGTGCAAATAACCCAAATATGCGTTAACCAATGAAGGGATAAGCAAAATGTGGTCTAGCCATAAAATGGAATATTATTTGTCAGTAAAGAGAAATACAGCAACACAGATGAACCTTGATAATGTTAGGCTTAGTGAAAAAAGTCACAAAAGACCGTGAACTGTATGATTCCATTTATACAAAATGTCCGAATAGGCAAAACTAGAGAGAGAGAATGAAATGGTTGCTGAGGGTTGGGAGAAACGGGGAGTGATTGCTACTGGTTAGGGGGTTTCTTTTGAAGGGTGTTGAAAATACTGGTGATAATTGTACTACTTTGTGAATACACTAAAAACCACTGAATTGTACACTTCAATTGGGGTGCTGTATGGTGTCTGAGTTATACTACAATAAAGCTGTTATGAGAAAGAAAAAGAAAGAAAAAGCATTGATGATTTGTTCATTGTTAAATTCCCAGTGGCGAACGTACAACCTGGCACGTATTAGATACCCAGTAAATATTTGTTGAATTTAAAATGTATGGATGTGTACATGTGTCATCTCCAACTGCTGCCCTTAGCACCCATACTTGTTGAGTTGAAAATGAATTTCCGATTTTTCCAAAATAGGAAGGCCAGTGGAAGAAAATACACATAAACCCCATGAGGGCAGGGACTGCATAATAGTGCCAAACTCATAGCAAATACTTATTAAGTATTTGTCAATAAATGTTGACTATGGGTTCTAACTTAAATTCTGGCTAATACAGTGTTTGGCCTACGCTTGTGAATGTTGAATTCAAGTCGAAAGATGAGGCTCTATAACCATTTTAATGGGTATGAGCCTCACTTAATCTTTGTGTTGTGAAGAAAAGAGCCCTAAGAGAGGCACAAAGCCCTGTGGGGCTTCAGATGTAGCAAGAGTCAATTTCGTTGGGGAGGTTAAAAGGGGCCTCAGAAGGGAGAGGGCATTTGGGTCAAGTTGGCAGGTGAAGGATATACCCAGTGGAGGGAATTGAGGCAATAAAGGTGTAGGGGCAGGAAACTGAAAAATACATTTGAATAATCCAGTTGGGTTTTTCCAACTTTGCCCATACCTTAAGGAACTGGGTTAGCTGGCTCTGTAGGTGCTCTCTTACCACAGAGAAAATTTGAGCAAGCCTAAGACGTCATTTGTTGGATATACACAATTCGTACTTGGGCCATGTTCAGGTACTACTCTACCTCTGAAACCTTGTATGCCCATAACTCACACTCTGATGGTGACTTCTTTTTCATTTCTCTGTATGTTTGAACTATATGAATAATACACGAGTACCTTCTCATCATAAAAGATCAGAACAAGACAGGCAATTCCAGCCATCCCACTTCTGGGTACATACCGAAAAGAACTGAAAGGGTCTTGAAGAGGTATTTGCACGCCTGTGTTCAGAGGAGCACTATTCACAACACCCAAAAGGTGGAAGCAACCTAAGTTGCATCCATGAATGCATCCATGCATCCATGAATGAATGACTGAATGAATGAACAAAATGTGGAATAAACATGCAATGGAATATCATTCAGGCTTAAAAAGAAATGAATTTCTGATAAAGGCTACAACATGAATGAACCTTGAAGACATTATGTTAAGTGAAATAAACCAGATACAAATGGACAAATATTGAAATGATATCACTTATACGAGGGAGCTAGAATAGTCAAATTCATAGAGACAGAAAGTGGAAAAATGGTCACCAGGGGTTGGGGGAAGAAGGAAATTGGAGGTTGCTATTTAATTGGTAAAGAGTTTCAATTTTTTCAGATGATAGAGTTCTAGAGATTGGTTGCACAACAATGTGAATATACTTAACACTGTTGAACTCTATACTTAAAGGTAGTTTAGTAAATTTTGTGTTGTGTGTATTTGACCACAATTTGAAATTAATAAGAGGCATACATGGGGCACCTGGGTGGCTCAGCTGGTTATAAGTCCAACTCCTGATTTTGGCTCAGGTCATGATTTCATGGATCGTGGGTTCAAGCCCCGTGGCAGGCTCTGTGCTGACAGTGCAGAGCCTACTGAGCATTCTTCCTCTCTCTCTCTCTCTCTCTCAAAAATAAATAATAAACATTAAAAAAAAGATACGCATATAGGGAGTAGAACATGAAGGTTCCCTTTGCTCTCCTAGCCCCTCCCCTCCCTAGGCTGATCACTGATAACAATTTTTCCTTCCAGTGCTTTCTTCCTATGTATTTAAAATTTACACTCACTTTTTTACATAAATGGGATCACACTGTACATTTCCTTTCAATTTTTCTCCTTTTCATCCATTTACATTTTTTGTATTTCAATGAGTCCTCTGGTCACGTGACTCTGCAATATATATATATATATATATATATATATATATATATTTTTTTTTTTTTTTTTTTTTTTTTTTCTTCCCCATCTATCAGCCTTCTTCCAATATGTGGTCTCTGGACCCAGGGACCCATTAAGTTGTCTACAGGCTATTTTATTGGGATGAGAAGCTTTATTCACACCTATTTCACAAACTTTAGATGTCATGTTAAGTATGATTTTCTCAGAAATCCTGTTATACTCTCAATAATCATTTTGCTCTTAAGGTTTAGGTTGCGTTAGCTCTACAGTTTGTCTCAGCTAATGTGCAATTAGTAGGGTGTGGACATGTTGTTTCACAATATGTGTTATTGTTTATGTGTTAAATTTGAAACGTATTGTGTTGTTGTATTTTAAATTCGCAAAAGTAGATCAGTAATACAATTCAGGAATTCAATTAGTTAGCTGAAAGTTAATTAAATCAGTATGCTGAATACTTTTAAACTCAGGGGGGGAAAAGAACGTTGTAAGTGAAACATTAACCAGGAATCCAGTGCAAATAAATACACAGCGTGACTCTGTCTATGCTGGGATTGGGTAATCCACAAGCATGATGAATTATGATGAGCAGCTGAATGGGAAAATTACTAATAAGAAATATGATAAACCTCTAAGACATATGTTTTATTAAACTGGTAATCTATTTTGCCCTGGTTCCCAGTATATTATGCTATAAACCTTGGTCAAATAGTGGCACAAAGCCAATGAAGTCATAGTGCCATTAAAAATTTTTTTTAAAAATATTTACTTACTTATTTAAAAAATTTTTTTCTTAATGTTTATTTATTTTTGAGAGACAGAGAGACAGAGACAGAGCATGAGCAAGACAGGGGCAGAGAGAGAGGGAGACAAAGAATCCGAAGCAGGGCTCGAACCCACGAGCTATGAGATCATGACCTGAGCTGAAGTCGGCCGCTCAACCAACTGAGCCACCCAGGTGCCCTGTAGAGCCATTGTTAAGAAAACCTCAGTGGCCAATCTGATAATCAAAACAAATTTTTCTGGAAGAAGAGCTCACAGAATAGTGCTTCCTAATGACATTGATAACATTTACCCCTAAACATAAGGAGAAGCGGTCAAAACTATAAAGGCATCCTTTAAGGTTGTATTTTTTAAAGCCAAAACAGTCACATTCTGGCTAAGAAGCTTTTACAGTCAGTCATAATGTTAATAATGATAAATTTGCTTGGTAAGAAAGCTAAATAAGCTTTTGGCAAAGTTCCTTTATCAAAAGATATCATTGGGGGAAAAAGATACTGTTGGACATTGCAAAATATCGATGGTATAGAAAGTGGATGAGCACGTTGTGTGGAGTTGTCGAGGGCTGCTGGAGAAAGTCATCCAACCATGCTAGGACCTGGAAATCTTTCTCATTATTTCCCCCTCATTTTCAGTGATCTGATGAATTAGTTGTCTATTTCTGCATAACAAATTACCCCCCAAACTTAGAAAATTAACACAACAGGGGCGCCTGGGTGGTTCAGTCGGTTAAGCGGCCGACTTCGGCCCAGGTCACGATCTCGCGGTCCGTGAGTTCGAGCCCCGCGTCGGGCTCTGTGCTGACAGCTCAGAACCTGGAGCCTGTTTCAGATTCTGTGTCTCCCTTTCTCTGACCCTCCCCTGTTCATGCTCTGTCTCTCTCTGTCTCAAAAATAAATAAACGTTAAAAAAAAATTAAAAAAAAAAAAGAAAATTACAACAAAGATCTCACAATTTCTATGGGTCAGAAATTTGGGGCCATCACGGTTGGGTGGTTTGGACTCAAAGTCTCTCATGAAGTTATAGTCAAACCGTCCAGAGGGACTGCAGTCTTATCTGAAGGCTTAACTGAAGAACGTTCTGCTTCCAAGCTCCACTCCTGTGGCTGTTGGTAGGTCTCAATTGTTCTTGGGTTATTGGATTGAAGCCCCAGTTCCTAGCTGGCTGTTGACTCGAGATCTCCCTCAGCTTCTTGCCATGGGGACCTCTCTTTAGGGCAGCTTGCAACATGGCAGCTGGCTTCCATCAGAGCGAATGATCTAAGAGAGAAAGAACCAGCTCAAGACCAGGATCACCAACGCATCCTGATTTTGCATTGAAATTCCTGCATCTTTGGTCCCAGGTAAAGCAGGATGGTTGGTTGTTCTATCACGACAAAAGTCATAGTGTTTTTTGTAGCCTAATCTCTGAAGTGACATAGCATCATTTCTTCCCTATTCAGTGAGTCCAGTACAGACCCAAAGGAAGGTGAATTAAGTTCTACTTTTGAAGGGAAGAGTATCAAAGAATTTGTGGGCATATTTTTTAAACCATCACATCTGGAGTCCAGTTTCATGCAGAAAAGAAAGTATTACAGAGAAACTCGACTTCCTAACATACTCCCTATCCAACTTCTCTGCTTCCGTAAACACCCCTTCCTCCTCTTTTCTCTGTCAGTGAAAGAGGCATCCCTCCTCCTGTCTAAAGCTAATCTTTCCACCGGCCAGAGTTTATCTCTTCCACCTCCTCAAAACTTTTCCCCCTTAATCACTCCTTCTCTCCCTCAATTTCTTCCCCTTAACTTTCTATTTTCCTAGTATATGATCATGTTCACATAAATCTTAAAAGACTTTTAGGCCGAATGCTTTATGGAGGTATAACTTACCTATAGTAAAACGTGAAATAATATGCATACAGCTTAATGAATTTCAAAGGATACACATATCCTTTCATCATCTATATTCTTCTTCAATTCACTGAAACCTGGTTTCTGCCCCCATCCTGTGACTGAACGCCATAAAATAACCTTTTAAGATGCCTTTCTTAAAAGGCACTTTCTTAAAAGAAACTTAAAAGAAAGGGTCCCCCTTTCAGTTTGCCTCCTGCCCCTCTGGCTTGTTGTTCTCAGTCTCCTTCATGGACTCTTTTTTTTTTTTTTTAATTTATATATGAAATTTATTGTCAAATTGGTTTCCATACAACACCCAGTGTTCATCCCAAAAGGTGCCCTCCTCAATACCCATCACCCACCCTCTCCTCCCTCCCACCCCCCATCAACCCTCAGTTTGCTCTCAGTTCTCAACAGTCTCTTATGCTTTGGCTCTCTCCCACTCTAACCTCTTTTTTTTTTTCCTTCCCCTCCCCCATGGGTTCCTGTTAAGTTTCTCAGGATCCACATAAGAGTGAAACCATATGGTATCTGTCTTTCTCTGTATGGCTTATTTCACTTAGCATCACACTCTCCAGTTCCATCCACGTTGCTACAAAAGGCCATATTTCATTTTTTCTAATTGCCACGTAGTATTCCATTGTGTATATAAACCACAATTTCTTTATCCATTCATCAGTTGATGGACATTTAGGCTCTTTCCATAATTTGGCTATTGTTGAGAGTGCTGCTATGAACATTGGGGTACAAGTGCCCCTATGCATCAGTACTCCTGTGTCCCTTGGATAAATTCCTAGCAGTGCTATTGCTGGGTCATAGGGTAGGTCTATTTTTAATTTTCTGAGGAACCTCCACACTGTTTTCCAGAGCGGCTGCACCAATTTGCATTCCCACCAACAGTGCAAGAGGGTTCCCGTTTCTCCACATCCTCTCCAGCATCTATAGTCTCCTGATTTGTTCATTTTGGCCACTCTGACTGGCGTGAGGTGATACCTGAGTGTGGTTTTGATTTGTATTTCCTTGATAAGGAGTGACGCTGAACATCTTTTCATGTGCCTGTTGGCCATCCGGATGTCTTCTTTAGAGAAGTGTCTATTCATGTTTTCTGCCCATTTCTTCACTGGGTTGTTTGCTTTTCGGGTGTGGAGTTTGGTGAGCTCTTTATAGATTTTGGATACTAGCCCTTTGTCCGATATGTCATTTGCAAATATCTTTTCCCATTCCGTTGGTTGCCTTTTAGTTTTGTTGGTTGTTTCCTTTGCTGTGCAGAAGCTTTTTATCTTCATAAGGTCCCAGTAATTCACTTTTGCTTTTAATTCCCTTGCCTTTGGGGATGTGTCGAGTAAGAGATTGCTACGGCTGAGGTCAGAGAGGTCTTTTCCTGCTTTCTCCTCTAAGGTTTTGATGGTTTCCTGTCTCACATTCAGGTCCTTTATCCATTTTGAGTTTATTTTTGTGAATGGTGTGAGAAAGTGGTCTAGTTTCAACCTTCTGCATGTTGCTGTCCAGTTCTCCCAGCACCATTTGTTAAAGACACTGTCTTTTTTCCATTGGATGTTCTTTCCTGCTTTGTCAAAGATTAGTTGGCCATACGTTTGTGGGTCTAGTTCTGGGGTTTCTATTCTATTCCATTGGTCTATGCGTCTGTTTTTGTGCCACTTCATGGACTCTTTAGCTTACTCCTTCGACGGTGAAATCCTGCACCACTTCTCAGCCTAAGACGCCTCTGGGTGATTTTATCTGTTCTCATGACTCCAATTACCTTCTCTATGCATTCACTTCTCCAATATCCATAGCTCTGATCTCCTCCTGGATGTCAACTTTTTATGTCAACTGCTTCTGGACATCTGCGCTTGGGTGTCCAACATACACTTCAAACCCACTGTGTACCAAATGTCACATCTTCCCATCCTCACTACTCTCCCACAAAAGACCTGTTCTTGGGGCACCTGGGTGGCTCAGGCGGTTAAGCATCCGGCTTTGGCTCAGGTCATGATCTCTCAGTTTATAAGTTCGAGCCCCACGTTGGGCTCTGTGCTGACAGCTCAGAGGCTGAAGCGTGCTGCAGATTCTGTCTCTCTCTCTCTCTCTCTCTGCCCCTCCCTAGCTCGTGCTCTCTGTCTCTCTCTCTCTCTCAAAAATAAATAAACATTAAAAAAAAAAAAAGACCTGTTCTTGGGCACCACCCAATCACAAAAGTAAGAAATCTAATTGTCATCCTTGATTCTTCCTTCTCACTCACTTGCCAAATCCAGTTAGTCACCAATCTTGTTATTCTACTTTCTGAATATCTCTCTTATTCATCCACTTTCTCCAACTCCACTGTCACTGCCTTGGTTCATTCTACTTGTCCTGACGGTTGCGATGAACCCCTAACTAGTCTTTCAGCCTGAAGTCTTGCCCCCCTGTCTTGCCTCACTCCAATCTCTTCTCCACACTGCAGCCAGGGTCCTTTATTCAAACCATAAGTTTGATGATGTTACTTCCTCACATAAAACCTTTCAGTAGATCTTCCTGACTTTCAGGATATGGTCAAATTCCTTAGCATGCTACAAAGGGCACTTTGTGTTCTGGTCCCTGCCTACCTTTCCCTCTGGTCTCACTCTCCTCACAATTGAGAGTATGTACTTCCCCGAATGCTGCATACTCTTGCTTTTGTGTCCCCGGCTTCCTCCGCCTGAAAAGTCTTCTATCTCACCCGACACTTTTTATTCCTCCTCGCCTTTCAAGTTGAGCTCGTGCATCATGTCCTCCCGGAAGCCTTCATGGCACTTCTACCTGCATACTCACCATCTAATTATGTACCTGTCGCTCTCACCAGACTATGAGTTTCCTGGGGGCAAGGGCCTTCTAACCTATCTTTTTACCCCCAGAATATTACGTGAAATAAACACACAAAAGAATTGTCAAATGATGAATGGAGATGTTAAGGCCCGGGAGGCTCAGCTCACCCAGAGACAGGTGGATCAAGCCAGACTCTAAGGATAAGATCACCTTCCCTCAGATAGATGGGGATGTTGGCTCACAACGTGTGCTCAAGGCTGAAAGAGGGTTTATCAAAGTGAAAGCAGAAGACATAGTCCTAGTCCTTGAAGAACTTTCAGTATCATTTGCAGCAAGAAAAAAAAAAAGGTAAAAATAAAAGGTATCTTTAAGAAAGGAAACAAGGGGCCCCTGGGTGGCTCAGTCCGTTAAGCGTTTGACTTTGGCTCAGGTCATGATCTCACGGGTCGTGGGTCCGAGCCCCATGTCGGGCTCTGTGCTGACAGCTCAGAGCCTGGAGCCTGCTTAGGATTCTGTGTCTTTCTGCCTGTCTTTTTGCCCCTTCCCTGCTTGTGTGCATGCTCTCTCTCTCTCTCTCTCTCTCTCTCAAAAATAAATAAAGATTTTATTAATTAATTAATTAATTTATTTATTTATTAAAAAAATTTTTTTTCAACATTTATTTATTTTTGGGACAGAGAGAGACAGAGCATGAACGGGCGAGGGGCAGAGAGAGAGGGAGACACAGAATCGGAAACAGGCTCCAGGCTCTGAGCCATCAGCCCAGAGCCCGACGCGGGGCTCGAACTCACGGACCGCGAGATCGTGACCTAGCTGAAGTCGGACGCTTAACCGACTGCGCCACCCAGGCGCCCCTAAATAAAGATTTTTAAAAAAAGAAAGGAAACAAAAAGTTAAGGCATAATGGTCAGCCTATACATTCTATAGAAAGTCAGAGAGGAGAAAGGATCTTTCAGACACTGCTTTGGTCAAAGGAGACTTTCAACTGGGCCACAGTTGGGCCAGCATCACACGTGGAAGGGGAAACATAATGTCCAGCACAAACCAGAAATGGGGTTAGGTGTGGGGTGCTTTCTTCCTGGGAGCTACGGTCTTGAGTCTGTTGCTCAGACAGACTGAGCAACAAGTAATTGGGATGAAAAGAATCCGGTAAGGAGAAACAGGACCTAGACAGAATAATATAAACTGGGTGGGTATGGAAACGCTTCATGAAATTTCCCTGCAGTGTTACAGTGGAAACAGTGTGTCTTATGAAAATGATTCAGATATTTAGGACACATGATTCCAGAGGAGATGAAGACATAAAGCCTAAGCCATTAAATTTTCCAAATGAGGGACTCTGACATGCTATGTTCGCTCCTCACTGGGCTGCACATCTTCTCAACATAAAAGTCTTTTAGACCCCATCAATCACAAGGGCATGGCCGGTATTTTCTTTCATATATAGCCTGCCGGCCTGCCTGAAGGAAACATCTTCTTATAGAAGTTGAGTTAGACCCACTTGGCTTTAAATCACAGATCAACCACTCACTAGCTGTGTGATTTGGGCCAATGAGTTAAGTCTTTTTTTTTTTTTAAGTTTATTTGTATTTATTTATTTAAGTAATCTCTGTACCAAAAGTGGGGCTTAAACTCACAACCCTGAGATCAAGAGTCTCATGGTCTTCCATCTGAGCCAGCTATGTGCCCCAAGTTAACTCTCTCTCTTTTTTTAATGTGTATTTATTTTTGAGAGAGAGAGAGAGAGAGAGAGAGAGAGAGAGAGAGAGAGAGAGAGACAGCATGAACGGGGGAGGGGCAGAGAGAGCAGGAGACACAGAATTCGAAGCAGGCTCCAGGCTCCGAGCTGTCAGCACAGAGCCCGACGTGGGGCTCCGACCCACAAACCGTGAGATCGTGACCTGAGCCAAGGTCGGACGCTCAACTGATTGAGCTCCCCCCCCACCTGCCCCGAGGCCACCACCCAAAATAACCATGATCTTACCAGTTTCTCCTCGACCTTCCCAATGAAGGAAATGGTGGGTGGAAGGAGAAGGTTCCTGTATAGCCCTGTCAGGAAAGGAAGTGGTCCAGGAGTATCTAGACAAACCAGTGCACAGGCCACACTTTTCGGTGTGGCCTGGCTCTTCCCTGGTGCCACCTCCTGAAAGGATCTCTCTGGGTTTGCTGGAAGGACACACCCAGTCAGCCTCTTCTAGGTCAAGTCAGGGGCTAAAGAGAGGAGACTTTCTGCTTGGTGGCTCTGGACATCAGAAAGCCTGGTTTTAAAAGATGCAGTGGTTCTGTGCAACATGGGCTGTTGGGAAGAAATCTCATTCCCCCAATTAAAGGTGCCTTCTATGCAGAGAGATTACTAGAGTCAGTCACATCTCCCTGGGAGGCTTTTGGAGAGCTCTCTTTAAAAAGTCCTGGACAGCTGCTGGGGCAGCTGGGAGAAGGAAATGCCAGCTTTCTGAGTTGGTAGGCGTGTATATGCCGTGGGGGCGGATGTGGGGGGACACCAGTTTCCTGTTTGGCCATTGTGCCCTGGCTAAACGAGGAAAGGGAGCTTGCTGTTTGTTCTATTGGTTCTAAGATAGGAGAGCGTGTGTTGTGACTGTGGAGGTCCTGCGGGTGAAGATTTGAGAGTGTGGGGACGACCTGAGCCCCTCTCGTCTAAGGAGGGCTCACACCTCCTCTGTCGCTGATGAGCTGCCTTTTGAGCTTCTGCAGTTTTACAGTTAATCATGGGGAAACCAGAGGGACTCCATGTTTAGAAAGGCTCTCCCTCTGCTGTTTTTCTGCTAGCCCCTATTTATTCATGTTCTATATCTCACCTTGCGTCCGAATCAACCAAAGAAGCTGTGTTCCCACTCGGAGAGGGAAGCAAGAAAGTTAATCATTTTCTGAGTTTTGTCCTAGGCCCCCAAACGCCTGATAACATCTAAAAACCTGGATCCCAAACACGTTCCAGGACATTAGCTTCGAACAAACCTCAGCCCATGGTGGCATCCACACCCCCTACCTCCAGTTATTTATGAAATAACACCTATTGTCCACCTGCACTTGGCTTCGAGCGGTCCCTTCCCTGGATTCCTGAAGGAACATGTGCCCCGGACCCCTTTCCAATCTAAACCCCTAAACCCAAGCAAGAGGAAGAGACTCCCTCTCCGTTCCTTCCTGCCTCTCCCAGACCTTCGTCTGCTATACTCTGTCATTTACGCTATTCAGTAAACTCTGCTCTTACTTCCTCCCGGCCTGTGTTTGTTTTCTATCCTGCACGAAGCCAGAGACCCTCTTGGCTGGTCCTGCGGGACCCACTCTGCGTCCTTCGATCCGGCCTGCCTACATCCTCTTGATGTTTTAAAGGATCCTATGGGAATCTGTTGAGGCAGTGATTCACCACTGGAAATGTGGTTTGTGTAAATCTGGATTTGGATATAATGTTTTCTTAATGCAACCACATTCAAAAATATGATCATTAGCAATCATTTATATATGCACTCAAGTCATAAAAAAAAAAACAAAAAACATTTACCTAAAGGCTGCTATGTAACCTGTCTTCAAGGGGCTTCTGCTGAAACTCTGCCTGATGCGGCCACTGCTTCCCTCACCGGTTTGATCTGACGTTCCTTGCTAATCCCTCACCCTATAATCCAGGCATGTTCAAATACGATGGGAGGGGGGGGTTGGTTAATGAGGTAAACTCTGGAGCCACACTATACCCCTTCCAAACTGTGTGACTCTAGACAAGTCACGTTAGAGTCACTTTACGTCTCTGTGCCTCAGTTTCTTCACCTGTAAACAGGGATGGTGGTATCTAGTGTTTTATTATGATGATGATGATGATGATGATGATGATGATGATGATGATTATGATTATTATGGAGATAGAGTAAGCTTAGAATGTAAACCACAAAAATAGGTCCTGACACTTAGTAAATACTATTGTCATTATCAGAATGTCCGTCCATTTGGAGGCCTGACTATGCTTCTTCTTCTTCCAGACCCTGTTTAAGTGTCATCTGTTGTGGGAAGCTTAGCCAGACCTCCCCGGGGCAGAGCTAACACCCGTTCATTGTTCCACGCCTGTATTTTATATGCATTTTTATATGACTTCTACGACACAGAACTTCAACCGTGATCAGTTTTCTGAATCAAGAAGAAGTCTTCATAGCCTGACATAATCTGAAAAGAGAGTAATCGCTGTACGAGAGACTCTTGCTTTTATAAAGAACAGCTCACCAGAAAACAGACTTTTCACTGTGTGGAGGATAAATGGGTGGTCACCAGAGGGGAGGGGGGTGGCAGTGGTGGGGGAAATAGTTAAGGAGATTAAGAGTACGTGTATCGTGTGGCTCAGTTAGGTATCCAACTCTTGATTTCTGTTCAGGTCATGATCTCATGGTTTGTGAGATCGAGTCCTGTGTCGGGCTCTGCACTGTCAGCACAGAGCCTGCTTAAGATTCTCTTTCTCTCTCTCTCTCTGCTCCTCCCCCCTCCTTCTCTCTCTCTCTCAAAATAAATAAATAAACATTAAAAAAAAGAGGGGTGCTTAGATGGCTCAGTTGGTTAAGCGTTCAACCCTGGGTTTTGGCTCAGATTGTAATCTCACAGTTCGTGAGTTCAAGCCTCGCATTGGGCTCCACAGTGTCCATGTGGAGTCTGCTTGTGATTCTCTCTCTCCCTCTCTCTGCCCTTACCCTGTTCGCTCTCTCTCTAAGTAAATAAATAAACTTAAAAGAAAAAAAAGAGTACACGTATCATGATGAGCACTGAGTGATGGATGAAAGTATTGAATCACTCCATTGCACACCTGAAATTAATATCACACTGTATGTTAACTATACTGGAATTGAAAAAACAAAGAGTAAAAAAAAAAAAGAAGAAAGAAAGAACAGCTCATTAACCCATTTGAGTGTGTAACCAGTGAACTTGAACTGAACTGGTGAAGGAATATTTTCAGGGAGGAGTACTTCCTGTCTTGGGCCGGCCTATTCCCAATTTGTCAACATCCTGCCTCGTAGCTCCCACCATTAACCGCACAGCCCTGAGGAGTAATGCCTGATGCCAGTGTCCCCTCTCACCCCAGAGGCCCCAGCCACAGGGAACCGCTTTGGGTTCCACAAAAGGCCTCTGGGCCTTCCCTACAGCTGCTCTTTCAGTCCCGAGCATTTTTCAGCCCTCCCTTCTCCCTGTTGCTTACCTGTTGTTCCTTCAATCTTCCTTCCTTCCTCCACCCCTGAAGCCTTCCCTTATCTCCGGAGATGGAGTCCATTATTCTCCCAGGCGGCCACTCAGCTCCTCATACTTCCCCTATCACAATGCTCACTACGTCAAAAAAAAATTTTTTTTTTTAATGTTTCTTTATTTTTGAGACACAGAAAGACAGAGCACGAGTGGGGGAGGGGCAGAGAGAAAGGGAGACACAGAATCCGAAGCAGGCTCCAGGCTCCGAGCCATCAGCCCAGAGCCCGACACGGGGCTCGAACTCACAGACTACGAGATCGTGACCTGAGCCGAAGTTGGATGCTAAACCGACTGAGCCACCCAGGAGCCCCAACACTTAGTACATTTTACTGTAATGTTTTCTCTGGGTTTTCTGCTAAACTGTCTCTCTCACAAGCCAGGGACTATGCCTGGAAGACTAACCCCAGGCACAGTCCCTGACCTATAGTTGATGTGTACTAACTGTTAAGAACGAATGTGAACTAGTGAATGAACGGAAGGAATGAATGCTTGGTAGCAGGTATCCACCTGCATGACATTTCCTGTCTTTTTATCTTTCTAAGGAGTTCACTGCACCATGGGGCTTAAAAAAAAAGAAGTCATCTCTCAAGGATAGGATGGAAATGGATTAGGAGAGCCATAATGGGAACATTTAAAATTTCAAACTAGAGGGGCGCCTGGGTGGCGGTTAAGCGCCTGACTTCAGCTCAGGTCACCATCTCATGGTTCGTGAGCTTGAGCCCCGTGTCCAGCTTTGTGCTGACAGCTCAGAGCCTGGAGCCTGCTTCGGATTCTGTGACTCCCTCCTTCTCTGTCTCTCCCCTGCTCATGCATGCTCTCTCTCAAAAATAAACATTAAAAAAAATTTTCAAACTAGAGACTCTCAGGATCTAAGTTTTCTCCCACTTCCTTAAAAACCCAGCCCTGGGGCACCTGGGTGGCGCAGTCGGTCGAGCGTCCGACTTCAGCCAGGTCACGATCTCGCGGTCCGTGAGTTCGAGCCCCGCGTCGGGCTCTGGGCTGATGGCTCGGAGCCTGGAGCCTGTTTCCGATTCTGTGTCTCCCTCTCTCTCTGCCCCTCGCCCGTTCATGCTCTGTCTCTCTCTGTCCCAAGAAATAAATAAACGTTGAAAAAAAAATTAAAAAAAAAAAAAAAAAAAAAAAACCCAGCCCTGGGGTGCCTGGGTGGCTCAGTCGGTTACGCGGCTAAACATCTAACTTCAGCTCTGGTCACAGCCTTATGGTTCGTGAGTTTAAGCCCTACATCTAGCTCCTTGCCGATGGTGCAGAGCCTACTTGGGATTCTCGCTCTCTCCCTCTCGCTCTCTGCCCCTCCCCAACTTATGCATGTTCTCTATCTCTCAAATTATATAGACTTAGAAAAAACCCAGCCCTTCCCAAATTCAACATGTTTTAAAAGAAAGAAAGGTAAAATTAAAAAAAAACAAACCACGATATAGGCAAAATATGTCAATGCCAGAATGTTAAGTACGGTTTTCTCTAACCCTGTGTTTATTGACACAAAGGCCAGTAGCCACATGGGTCACTGAGCACTCAAAGGGGGGCTAGTTTGGATTGAGATGTACTAGTACAAGGCACATTCTGGATCTTGAGGAGTTAGCATGACAAAAGGAATTTAAACTATTGGTCATATTGATTACAAGTTGAAATAATAGTGATTCTGATATATTAAGTTAAAGAAAATATATTAAATTTGATTTCACTTGTTTCTTTTCACTGGTTTTAATAGGGCTTCTAGATGACTTAAAATTGCATTTGTGGGGGTGCCTGGGTAGCTCAGTAGGTTAAGCGTCCGACTTGGGCTCAGGTCATGATCTCACAGTCTGTGGGTTCGAGCCTCGTGTCGGGCTCTGTGCTGATAGCTCAGAGCCTGGAGCCTGCTTCAGCCTGGAGCTTGTTTCCCTCTTTCTCTACCCTCTCCCACTCATGCTCTGTCTCTGTCTCAAAAATAAACATGAAAAAAACCTTTTTCGTTAAATTGCATTTGTGGGCATAGAGAGGTTAGTTTGCAAGCGGGGTCGGGCGGCTACCTCCTTTCTGCTCAGAGCTGTTTTTTTCAGTGCTTTCCTGGTTTGCTAGATGCCTTTGAACCCTGGTGTTTTCTCCACTGCCTTTGGTGTGACCTCTGGGGCTAGCACTGTGGTGAGGCAGCAGGGTCTGCTCCCTGTGTCCTGACCTTGGGTCCTGTTTGCCCAGATACTTACCACAGCTCTCAGATTCTGTCTCTGGCCCTGACTTTCGACCTGAACATAACTCTACACACTTCCCTCTGGGCTCTGGTTTGTTTTGGTTTTCTCCGTGTTCCCCGCGTGTGGAAGTTTGGCAAAAAGAAACGAGGTCTGTCCTATAGGCGGTTACTTTGAAATCACCTATCAGAAAATATTGATAGATGAAAAAGACACCACAAAATGCCTCAAGTCAGTAACTGTAATAAACAGCCTGTCAACATATGCAAACTGTTTCCCCCTCCGTTCTCCCGAATTAAGGGAGGATCGCTTCTTCCACGAAGCAACCACCTGGGTAGAGGGTTGGGTGAATCAGTTGGTCACACAACTGTCCTGGGTCTTCAACTGTAACTTTCTTGGCCACAGCCAACGAATTCTCTCGCTACAGAAAGGTCGGCTCAGTTCTCTGGCTCAAGTTTTCCTCTATGTATAAAGCGAGGCTTTTTCAATCGTGCCAACTTTAAAAGTCCATATGCTTCTATGCTTCTCCATGTGAGTGGGAAGGAGAAGAATTCTAAATAAACACAAAACTCAAGCACACACATCTCTTCCAAGTCTTTTCCTTTCCTCGGCGCTGGCAGAAATAACTCCTCCTCTTCAGGAGTCTCAGCTTTTCTTCCTGTCTGTGGTGTAGGGTCAGTAAGCGTTGGCACTTTGGAGTCATATGACCTGGGTTTAAATCCTGGCTCTGTCACACGCTAGCAGTGTGATTTGGGGTGAATAACTTCGAGACTCTGTTTCTCCCCGACCCAAGGGGAGCCTTTAACTTCTCTGAACCTCTGTATGGGGGGGGGGGGGGCAACGTGGTCTTATGGAAAACACCTGGCCCAGAGGAGCTGTTTATTACCATATTATGCTTGATCATACCTCTGGGACCTGGGACCTTGTTTCTCCCTCTCCTGCCAGCACCTACAATAGCTGCCTTAAAAAATTACATATATGTATATGTGTATAAAATATGTATATATATATATGTATATAACATGTGTACCTTTCCTGACTTTTAGAAAGAAAAATATGCCTCATTTGACTCTTTCTCTGGTTAATGTCTTACTTTCCCCTTCATTTCAGCGCCAGTTCTTGGATCGCAGGTAGTTTACTGCCTTGCTCTTGTTTCTTTTCTTCTCTGTCATGTGTCATGTGCTCTGACGCTATAGTGGCCCTCAAGACACTGCTTGAGCAGCGACCGGTCGGTTGGCAAATCCAGCGGTTGCCTGTCGGTCCCGTTCTTCCCGACTTCACTCAGCACCTGCCACCCCTTCTTTCTTTCTTTCTAATATTTTTTTTAATGTTTGTTTTTGAGAGACAGAGCATGAACGAGGGAGGGGCAGAAAGAGAAAGGGGGACGCAGAATCCAAAGCAGGCTCCAAGCTCTGAGCTGTCAGCGCTGAGCCTGATGTGGGGCTTGAACTCATGAGCTGTGAGATGGTGACCTGAGCCCAAGTCGGACGCTTAACCGACCGAGCCACCCAGGCGCCCCTCGCCGCCCCTTCTTTAGATGCATTTCTTGCCCCGGAAGCTCTGATGACCTCCCGAAGTTTCCCAACCAGGCAGATCAGAATCCCTGTAAAGTCATGAGCCCTGAATGATCTCTGGCAATCTTGTCACCTGCTCTGCTCACTGCCTGTCCCCTCTTTAAAATAAAGTCACAACTTGTCCTCTGTCCTCAGACCTCCTGCCAGCCCCTTCCCCCCCCCCCTCCACCACAGGTGGTATGGTGACACTCCTCCTCCCTGGCCAGCCTGCACCTGCAGCCACACCGCAGTAAACTCCTCCCTTCCAGCGCATGAGCGGAAGTGGCTTCCCAGCTAAAGCCAGACCCTCCACCTCTGCCCTGAAACCTTCCTCTCTGCCACCTGGGCACCCTTAGGGGAAAGAACAGATCATCAGTGATTTGGCTTCAGCCTCTCCCACTCCACTATTTCCTCCCGGCAGCATTTAGGATCTCGCCCATCTTAACAAAAAAAAAAAAAAAAAAAAAAAAAAAAAAAAAAAAAAAAAATTCTTCCTTGCCCTCACTTCCCCCTCTAGTTACTGCTTTCTCTTCCTTCCTCCATTTTGGCCAAAGATCTTGAATTCGAGCCCATGCTCTGTGCTTCCTCCTTTTGCTCTCCGCTCCGGTTTCTGCCTTAAGGCTCTGCCGAGGGCTCCCTCCATGCCTTGAATTCTAAGTGTTTTATTGGGATGTAGGATTCTCTTAATGATGAGGGTGAAGATAGTACCATCTCTGTGAAACACCTGCAGGGTGCAGGTGGATTTAGCAAATTAGCCAAGGTCACCCGGCAGGGGTTTGAAACCAGCCAGCGGGGCTCAGAGTCTGTGCTGCTGACCCCCATGCCACGCTACTCCATGCCTCAAACTGGATGGTGCGTGTGCCCAGCACACTACGGTGCCTCACATATAGTAGGAGACGGACCACCATGTTTGAATGAATGGACACATACTGTCGCCATGGTTCAGGTTCTTAATCTCTCGGTCTGAGAATAACCAACTAATCATCGGGCGCCTGGGTGGCTCCATCAGTGAAGCATCCGACTTCAGCTCAGGTCATGGTATCACAGTTCGTGAGTTCCAGTCCCGCTTCGGGCTCGGTGCTATCCTCGTGGAACCCGCTTCAGATTCTCTCTCCCCACTCCCTGGCCCCTCCCCCCTCAAAAATAAATAAACGTTAAAAAAAAAATCACCCACTGATCAAAGGTTCTTATAAAGTGCAGGGGCCAGGGGCACCTGGCTGGCTCAGTTGGTGAAGCGTGCGACTTTTGATCTTGGGGTTGTGAGTTCAAGCCCCACATTGGATGTGGAGATTACTTAAAAATAAAATCTTATTTAAAAAAAATTTTTTTTTAACATTTATTT